AAAGAGAGAGAGAGAGAGAGAGAGAGAGAGAGAGAGAGAGAGAGCTCAATATTGTTTCTATTTTTCTAGAAAACCTTGACTAATACAGGAAGAAAGGCATTATCATGAAGAAGTTTGTATTTAAGGGTAATAAGTGGAATTTTGTCTAATACCACAGAGAAAGCATAAGAAATAATTTTATTGTGTTTTACAGAAGTATTGGGCTCTGATATAGTAGAGGGAAAACTAGCTGGTCTTAGACTAATGAATGGCAGAAAAATCGGGGTGGACGTGCACACACAGGAGAAAAGCCAGGGTAGTGTAAGAATCATGACACCATGAATAGTTTGCCTGGGAGAAGTATGAGGTTGTTAAATAGACTACTGAGGCTTGGATAAAGAGATAATCAGAATAAGCAAATGCTAAAATCTCCAGGAAGGTGGGAGAAAGGCTAGGAAACAGGCAGTGACGGCAAGGAGGAGAGGAACAGAGTATGCTGATAGGTGTTATTCCTTCTGATTAAGTTGCCACAAAGATCAGAAAACTAGGTCTCGTTCCAGTGAGATTGCTTTTTCCTCTAATTTTACTAGAATGTTCTGCCCAATCACAAAGCAGATTAATATTCTGTCTAAGGTGATGAAACAGACTACAGAAAGCATGCAAAATTTCAGCATACATACCTTTTCAGCAACGGTGCGCATTTCAGTTCCACTGTATGTAAATTTGGAGTCACTCCTATTGGAGATAGATTCGAAAAGGGGAGAACTGGGGTTTGGAATAGAAAAAGGAATTAAAGAAAAATAATAGGATGAACAGTTTTGCAATACAACCTTAGCAGAAGCAAAAGATGAAGGAAGGGGAACAGGCCAGAGGTGCTAAAATAGACTCTGGGTATTAAGAGGGGAGGGCTTGAGAAGCAGAGTGAGTTATGCCTTGAAGTTTAAACAAAGGGTACCCAAAGGTGTCACCATCTTTCAAGCTACTGGGAATCTCTAGGATCACCGTAGGGTTCCCAGAGGGGCAAGTCAGAAACCCACCGACAATTTGGATGGAGGATTGCATCAATAAGAGAAAAGCCTCTCAGCATGTGTATATTATCTACCACAAAGAAAGTTAGTGGCATGTCACTCACATTTCATAGAAAAGAGAATGTAAAACACATAAAGCAAGGAAATGGAAAGTGATTGAACCAAATGTCAAGTGTATTAACATGCTGCCTTTATTTCAGTCAACAAAATTCTGTTTCTGTAAGTATCATGCAGTAACCAATTGGGCTACTGGAGCTCCAACAAAGCTGTATAAGAACTTTCACAGGTTCACTTATAGTGTTGGTTCCTTCAGCCAAATTTTCCCACATAGACGCAAGCATAAATATCTCAAATGAAAATCATGCTATGACATACAGTTGAAACGAACCTTTAGTATTGGGGTAGAACTCAGATTGTATTGATGAGGGAGCTCTGTGCCCTTAATGGTAATTTAAGATACAATATGTAGACACTATTACCAAAGCTGTCCTAATTCTCCATTAAGAATCACTTTGCAGAGATTATCATAAGTAAACAAATATAGTCTTACCTTGTGTCATCATTCAACTAGAGTGGGAAAGAGCAGAAAACATTAGACATACTTATTTAATTATAGGATGCAGATTTATATGAAAATTAGGTCATATGTTCAAACACACCAGCATGAAAGGCTGAAGAATTGATTTCGACTATATACAACTGAATTGTATTTTCTTGCCTACTTTCCTCACCTACTCTGGAACGTTTACCCACAGCACAAACTTTGTAGTTCATGAAGCCCTTCTGTCTTGTGGTCTTTGCTTCGCTTTGAAATACTTTAGCAAGACCTCTGCTTCCCACAGGGAAGACTAGTGGGGAGATAAGAGGTTCTTACCACCAAGGGGCAGCTTGTTTACTGATCTCTCAAAGTACTGATTATACTAGAGTGTGTTTCTGTTCTGGCTTGCTCTCTTGGCCCCTTCGCCTGATAACCTCAGCAGCAAACCCCCACCACCACGGAGTTCATGCAGATCGCTGAGGGCTTGCAGGAAAATAAGCAAGGGTCAGAGGGCCAGAGGAAAAGGCCCTCGCGACAGTGCTATTAGGAAACCTGAAAGGATCTAAAGTAGCGATCCGGTGGCCTCCCAGGCGCCTCGGGGACCACTCGGGACGGCTCAGCAGGATTGCAGTCCAACCTACTCACCTCCCCTATACACAGACCCATCACCTCTTCCTTCTCTGTGCTCAGAGCGTGGTTGAGACAAACTAAGAAAGCGTCAGACTCAAGATGAACCGCCTGCACGGCTTGCACCACCTGCACCGCCATCTTGGTCAGCTCCAGTCACGTCTGCCTGGGACCCACAGCAGCCTGGCCAACCCGGTGCTTAGGCGCAGCCTCCCTAGCCAGGCACACCGCGCTCCGCCCAGGCCTGGCCTAGCGGCGCGGATTCTACGGGGGCGGAGCCTGGGCATGGGGCGGGGGCGGGGCCGGGCCGGGGGCGGGCCCCGCCTAGCAGCACCTGGGAGACGCCCGGGTCGCTTGGGGCAGGCGTGGCAGTGGGACGGTGGGTGGTGGCCGGCCAAAGTCCGCGAGGCTGGCGGGCGGTGGGGCGGCCGGGAGTCGGTGTTCTCCCGCTGGGGCAGACGTGGGCTGGTGAGTAGCGCCGGGGTGCCGGCGCCCATTTTGCCCGCCCGCTGAGGAAAGCCCTGCGCGGCCTACATGCGGCAGGGACAGCCTTTTGAGTAAGGCGCTCTCGCCGCGAACGCTGGCCTCTTTTGAAAGTCGGTCCTAAGACAGTTAAGGTTTTGTTTTGTTTTATTTCCAAGTCGCAGCCTCTGAATCTGCCTGGACCACTTCCGGTTGCTGGCCTGCGCCTCCTAACTTCGGTCCTAGTGACCTCGGCCCGGGATGCCCCTTGGTTCGTCCTGGGCTCACGTCGCGATCTCTGCTTGAGTGGCCCGGGGTGGGGGACCTGGAAGTTTTAGCCTAGCTGTTCTGGAGGCGGAGTAATTAGTACAAGAAACATTGTATTCATGTGAGTAACCTTTTACAGAAACAGCGTTTTACTGTGTGTCAAAAAGTATCACTCAGCTTGCGTGCTGCACTTTCTACAAAGGCTTTTAGATTTAATACAGGAAGGAAATTAAGGGACTTCACTTTTTATTAGTGTCAGTGTATCAAATCAGCTAACTAGAATATAAATTTTCTCTGTTCTCCTTCATGTTATCAGACATGGTGAACTTACATGTAAAAAGTAATCTTATTTTAAGGTATGCTAATGACTCAAGAGTTTAAGAGTACAGATCTTCCAATTTACAAGTTTACAAATTACACGAGGGTTTTAGCACTGATTCTAATCGAATGGAAAATATATGCCATGCAGCCTTCGCAGCCTATTCGCGATTGCTTGAATTTGGTTTTTTTAATCCTTCTGTACTTCTGATGAAGCCAGGCAGATATGGCAGTACTGGAAAGGGAATTTATTCAAGGTGCTTCTTGAAGAGGTGTTGATGCTTTGCTCTTTTCTCCCAAGTCAGTTCCAACCCAAGTCTCCCCACAAATACTGTTCCAAATCCAGGGCACTGTGGTGGTGTAATATGCCAGCAACATTTGTTTTTACCTAATGCTTATTAATCACTTGGCACAGCTTTTCATGATTAAGTCTCATAACGATAAAAGTTGGAGAAACTGCAAGGGACCTATCTACGTTTTCTCTTCAAGTTTCAAATTTATGTCATATGTTACTTTCAGTTACTGTTCATGGCTAGCATATCCTGCCCTGATGGGGCAGCAAGGACTGCTCATCTCATTATGATGTTTGCTCATGGGATATTTTGAATTTATCAAGTTGTTTTAGCTACCTTCAAGAACAAAAATACCTTTGTTGTTTTTAGGCAATCTCATATTCTAGACTTCCATTGACTTTATAATGTTCATACTACTTTTTACAGCTCCAAACATTTAATTGGAGTGGCAAATAATGATTAACATTTATAGCAAACTTACTATGTGCTAAATACTCTACTAAACATTTAGCTGTGTGATCTTGGAGGAGTTATCTAACTTCTCTGCCTGAATTTCTTCACCTTCCCACCTTAAAGTGGAAGTAATACAAATATGCACCCCGTAGGGCCCTATGAATATTGTGAAGATCAAATGGGTCAATGTACATAGACATATGTAAAACATATGAGAAGTGTTAAGTACTATTACAATCAATATGTTCATCATTTTACATCTCAGGAAAACTGAAGTAGAAAGAGATTAACTTGCCTGAGGGCACAAAGTTTATAAGTTACACAAGCTGATTCCTGCGCCTATGTTTTTGACACTTGAATACGTTTATTAAATAACTTAAAATAAGCATATTCAACTTATTGAGGTTTAAAAATTCAAATACCTCAAAATTAAAGCAAATCATATTTTTTTTAAAAAAGATCCAAAACAATTCATTCTGTAAAGGAAAATGAAGGTCTTATTTAAATTACAACCTAAGGAAGCCTTTCTATATATTATGTCATTCATTTAGAACTTGATTTACAAAGTATCTAAAAATAATCTGTCTAGGCCAAAATATAATTTCTGGAATGGAGGCAGTCTAATCTCAGTGGATGATATAGTTGTAAAATTATATAAACATTTTGGGGTACATTTTTATTTGAAAGTGGTAATGTTCCTTAAGTTAAATTCCACAGGTATATACTCCACGTATTGTATAGTATGTTGTATGTAAATTTATCTTGAGGTTTTAAGAGATCCGTTTTAGTTTGAGGAATCTTGAATTTTGTGAACAAGTGTCATGTGCCAGAAATGTTTAGTCAGATAGTTTTGGAAAATGTTAAACAATGTAAAGTTTCTGTATAACTTGGTTGCAGTTTTTACTATGCTAATGTGGTTTTTATGATTTCTAAGATTCCCAAACTTATTTGACCAAGGATAATATTGGTAGCAAGTATTCTAAGAATCACATTTATGAAAATTATGTTCCATTTATACAATGTGATTTTTATAGGCTTTGATCTGAATGCATCTTGCTCAGCCTTTGCATTTCTCTACCAAAGATATTGATGGTTTCATGTTATGTGGTGGCTTATCACTGAAGTGAGCTGTCATGTTCTAAATGATAGCACACACAAATCCAGGCTAATGTGTTGAGGGTTGTTCCCTGGTTCATCTTACCAATGCCCTGCATGTTAACCTTTGCAGATCACAGCAGCCCATTATACTGCCTTTCTTCTGAGAATATTTTGTAGTGGCTCATAGTAGTTCAGAACATCACTTGCAATCTGTCTTCTTTTCCACTAGAATTATTTCCTTTCAGTGTCAGTATGACTAATAAAGTTTTGTTTTCATTCAAAATAAATTTCAATGTCAACATGTCGGTTGTGGCTAGGACCCATCTATGAAGTTGAGATGGTCTTGAGACCCTTAAAAGTTGGTTTCTACTTTTGAAATTGTGATTTGGGGGCTCAAAAATCAAGGTTTTTAACATGCTTTATTTGTTTATCTTCCTAAAGTTCTAGAGGAGAGACAAAACAGTTGTATTTGCTAAATGGAAAAAAGACTTCAAAAACTATAGCTAGAGACTCATGCATTTTAGGCAGGTAGAAAGGAACAGCAAGAATACGGAGCTTGAAACAAGCCTGGTATTTGAAGGCAATGTTTTGAATACATTGGTAGCAGTGATATTTGCTGGAATTGGTGACAGGATGTAGCAACTGAATGAGAGGAAGAGATTAAAGCTAACATAACTTTTGAGTGTATAGAAGAGGTAGTGTTGTCATTGAGAGAAAGGAGAGAGAGCATATCCATGTGAAAAGGTGAACGTATGAGAGGGTCTGAATCAAAATCACTCAGGGAATAAATGAATGAAGTAACTATGATACTTTAAGATTATTCACAAAATGAGACCGTCTTTGTGGGTTTTAGACAGGGTCTCCTTATGTAGTTAGCCTAGAACTCACTATGTATACCAGGTTGGCTTCCAACTTACTGTATAACCCAGGCTGGCCTGGACCTTGCTCAGCCTCTGGCTTGTTGGGATTACAGGCATGCACCACCATACCCATTTTTGAGACAATTTATTAAGCCTATAAAAGTTTTTTCCCCTCTAGGGGATAGGAATAGAAACAATGGATGAAAAAAAAAAAGATTTAGGATGTTATCCTTGAAAAAAGAAAGGCTTGGATTACTTCTTTATTTCTGGCTTCTTCCCATTCTACATCATATAATTGGCATTAGGTTTGCTCTGGACAGTCTCACTTTGAAAGTTCTAACCTCCCAACTATGCTTTATTTCCTTTCCCACATAATAGCCACCTAATTGGAATGGGAGATGTCTTTTTATTCTGGGACAGATACCCAATGACATATGTATGCTCTGTTAAAGGTATACAGACACTGAAACTGCACCATGATGCTATGAGTGGGGTCCAACAGATTCATTCATGAAAATGCATATGAAGTTACTGATCTCCAAGGCTGGGCAGAGAACTGTTATGAAGAGAGTTGCCTTGCCACCCAAAACTCTGAAAACTGTACTTTCTTAGTATTTCTTAAAGGACAGAGAGGCCTTTGGGGCCTTCTGATTTGGACAATAAAAATTTACAACTATGCCTCTATGGAAAAACAGGCTCCTGTGATAACCTGCAGCATTTCTTAATTGAAACAAGGCTCTAGATGGGTAACTATGATTTGCTGTTAGAAATCCATGAAACCACACTAAATATTTTTCCTAAAATGGAAATCTCTAGATAAGCCTAGCTAATATAAATAACATTTTAATAAAACAACAAATATATTCTTTGCCCTTGTAACAAACTTTATTTCCATTTAGAAAGCCATAAATATCATTGAGAATGTTACCTTTTTAAAAATGTAAACTGCTTGACAGTGGCTTTTATCTGGGAAATATTGCATGCATGTGTCTCTTTCACTACCTTTCTGCCAAAATCATGTGTGCTTAGGTACACTTTTGCACATTTTCTGTTGCTAACCCATTTTATTAGATACTGCTTTGTAAATGAGAGAGAGAGAGAGAGAGAGAGAGAGAGAGAGAGAGAGAGAGAGAGAGACAGACCAGTGCCCAGCCTCCTGACGTTCCTGTCCCACCTTCCCACAGAACTTACCTAGAATTCTTGGGTGCTTTGCCATAGAAAGTTAGCATTACTTAAGGCTCTGCCTGAGTGTCACTTCAGTGTCATTTCCAGAAAGCTTCAGATGTCCTTTGATATGTTTAAGTTGTACAAATAGATATGTATGAGATTTGGTTCTAGTTGGTGGTTGCTACTCCCACATCACCTTGCTCACTGGTGAGTTCGTCCAAACCCCAAAAGTCACACCTGTGTCCTGTGCGCGGATGCTGCAGGCTTAGGTGGAGAAAAGCAGGGCTAGAATTGGAACCCAAAGCCCAGAATGGCAAGAGAGGATGTGGGGGCTCCACCCGATCATCTCTGGGTTCACCAAGAAGGTATCTACCGCGACGAGTATCAGCGCACATGGGTGGCTGTTGTCGAAGAGGTAACTCTTGATTTTCTATATTCCTTTATTTTGCTTACAAGTAATTTGGTTTCTATCTAGTCTTAATATTCTGAAGTCTTCGGTTTTATTTTTGATCATCCCTATCAGGAGACAAGTTTCCTAAAGGCACGAGTCCAGCAAGTTCAGGTTCCCTTAGGTGACGCAGCTAGGCCAAGTCACCTTCTTACCTCCCAACTACCTCTCATGTGGCAACTCTACCCAGAGGAGCGCTACATGGATAACAACTCTCGCTTGTGGCAGATTCAGCATCATTTAATGGTACACATGTTGCTTAATCACTTTCCATTTTACTGGGGCTGTATAACAGAGTACTCTATAAATTTTCCTTTTTCTGACAGGTCAGGGGAGTACAGGAACTACTGCTTAAGCTTTTGCCTGATGATTAACCTGGTATGTATTTCTATTTTTCCTTCCTTCCTCCTCTTTGTTTTGACCCTATTCAGTTGTAGTAATGTTAATGATTTTTTTTTCAGGTGCTGGAATTCTAGGAAGATACGCTCCTCTGTTCTGTTCATTATATGGCAATCACTTCATTCACCACTGCAGTGCTCCCACCTTTGGGCCTTGGGGGAGGGAGTAGGTTGGAAAACTGGTCAAGAACACAGATGTTTAGGAAGGGTCTTGAAGAATACTGCCAGTGACACTACAGAAAGGGTTATACAGGGCAGAAATCAAGCCAACAAAAGCACTTAGTCAGGATATGTCATTTGAAATTGACTCCTTTGGAAATTGCCATAAAACCTTTAATGGACATCATCGGATGGAACTGGGATCTGATGAATCCCACAAAAGTCAGCACATGCTACAGAACAGATGGCCCTCATCACCAAGGACTTGGTACTGATTTAGAGAGAAGAGAGCAGCTCCTAGCAGCATCAACATGTATTTGTTGCTTATTTTTCCCTGCAGCAAATTCGCCTGCCTTTCTTTCTCCCATCCTGTAAATATGTGAGGTTTTGTTCTAGTGTTTCCCATCCCAGTACTGACCTAATTTGGATCTACTGAGAACTTAAGGAGTTCTGGGGGGAAAGGGTTATTTGTATTGATGAAATTAGCTACAAAGGCTCCTAGGCCTTTCTTCTTTCTGAAACTGTGTCTTTGAATTGTTAGAAGTTTCTTAGCAAATCCATGTGCACCTAAATTCTTTCTCTGGTTACAAATATTTTAAATAAGATGGTTTCCAGAAGAGCTTCAAAACAAATAATGTTAACTTGAACTGGCACCTTCTCAGGAGGTAACAGCAACTAATATTGCTGATTCCTAGGAAAGCATTTCTGCTACCTGTAAAGAATTTCCTGAATTAAAGCAGTCGTGACAGTTTATATACATTAAAGTAAGGTTTTACTTTTTACAACAAGTCTCGGGCCCAGAGCAGTGGTGCATGTCTATAGTCCCAGATACTCGGGAGGCTGAGGCAGGAGGATCACTTGACCCCAGGAGTTTGACACCAGCCTAAGAAACATAATGAGGCCTGTCTTAAAACAAACAAAAAATATTTGGGTGTGATAGCTACCATGTACTGGGTCCTTACTGCTTTTCAGCCACTATTCTGTGAACTTTATATACTTTATCACCTTTAGCCCTTCCATCAGTTCTTTGAGGTACGTATGATTCCTATTCACATGAATAGTGAGGAGAAAAAAATATTTAAAGAATGTAATCATTTACTAAGGATTTCTTCTGTGAATCATAGAGCCAGACAATGGGCCAGGGCTGTTAAGCTGTGGTGTCACTCCAGCGTTGGTTTACAATAGTCAAGATGACTAGATTGAATTTGGGTGTTTTTTCCCATGTACAGCTATTTATATCTTTCATACTTAATGAAATGGAGATATAAAAATATAGTTCATTCATCCTATCAAGGAGAAGAGTATTTTAGTACAATTATTTTCTAGAAATTATAAGGATATGCTACTTGCCTCAAAAGGAAGTTACATGTAGAGGGGCTTTAAAGTCTTTATGAGTGAGTAAAAAAGCAAAATTATAATCATTTTTCTTGTTTTAGTTTTCTGGATATGCCGCAAAAGGATCCATGCCAGAAACAAGCCTGTGAAATACAGCAATGTTTGCAAGGTAGTATATAGAACTAAAAACAAAACTTTACCTGTGAACTAACTATAAGAACCAATTATTCTTTTGTCAGCAACCTTAATTAACCCTGACTGTAATATTTGTATAATTAACTAACTGAATATTTTCTCCATTATGTCATAAAATATATAGAATACTAAAAGTGATGTGGTATAGGGAATGGGAGGCCATAGCTCAGTGGTATACCACTTGCCTAGCATATGCAAAGCCTTGGGTTCCACCCTCAGTACCACACACAAAACATGACATGATATAAGCTAGGTGTTCTTGAGCCCAGTTATACATTAGAATTACCTGGAGAACTTTAAAAACTTGTCTAGAACACTTAAAGAAGACTTTGTGAGATAGGGTCTGGGCAGGAATCATTCTAGAAAGCTAAACAGGTGATTTTAATGCCCTCAGAGTTGAGAAGTACTGAGGTGAGCAAAGCCCTTTTATGAAAAGACTGGTTTAGAGATCGGGATGTGGCTCGGGGATAGAGCACTTGCCTAGCGTATACTAAGCCCTAGTTTCCATCCTGAGCAGTACATTTATGTACAAAGAGAACACACTTGGGAGTGCACACTTGTAATCCCAACACTTGGAACACAAAAGCAGGAGGATCATACACTTGAAACCATCCTGGGTGACAAAGTGACAGCGTATCTCAAAAAATAAACAGAAGTAAATAAAACATAGACATGTTTTAAAACTAGTCCTTTAAGGGCTAGGAATTAGGTCAGTGGAGGAGTAAACTACCCAGTATTCATGAGGTTCTCATTTTGATCCCTAGCACTGAAAGAAAACAAAACAACTACCAAAACAAAATAGAACTATTGGATAACTGACTTTTTAATATACTATATATTGTATAAAATAATGGGTTTCATTGTGACATTTTCATGCATGTGTTATAATCAAACTAAGCCCCCTCATTGTCTTCTCTTGTCTCATACCCTTATACACTGGTTCCTTTACTTTCTCCAAACACCACTTCTACTTTCCTATCCTTAAAAAAAAATCTAGATACTACATATGAGAGGAAAATATGGTGTATTTGTTTTTTGAGTAGTCTCCATCAATTTTCTTGAAAATTACATGATGTTCTTTAATGCCTGATCAACACACACACACACACACACTCTCTCTCTCTCTCTCTCTCTCTCTCTCTCTCTCTCTCTCTCTCTCTATCCATCTATTGATGGACACCAAGGCTGATTCTACCTTGGCTATTGTGAATAGAGCCACATTAAACATGGGTATGCAGATACATGTATTGTATACTGATTTATTTTCCTTCAATTATAAACCCAAGTGATACAACAAAATCGTGTGTTAGTCTAAACTGCATACTAATTTTTATACTGGCTGGACTAATTTATATTTCCAGCCAGCAGTATATAAGACTTTTTATTCCCCACTCTCTGCACTTTCACCAGTATTTATTTTCTTGATAGCCATTCGGACTGGGGTGAGATAGAATTTTTAATTTCAGCACTTGGAACATAGAGGTAGGAAGATCAGGAGTTCAAGGCCAGCGTCAGCTACAGAAAAAGTTCAAGGCCACCCTGGGCTACATGGAGACTCTGTCTAAAAAAAAAAAAAAAATCTGTTCTTTTATTTTACATTTCCCTGATGGCTAAGAATGTTGAATTTTTTTTTGACCATTTGCACTTTTGCAAACTATCAGGTCAGCCAGGCATGGTTGCATACACCTGTAAATCTAGAACTCTGGAGGCTGAAGCAGGAGGATCACAAATTTGATACCAGCCTGGGCTTCATAGCAAGGCTCTCTCAAAACAACAACAAAAAAACAGGGTTAGTAGCACAGGCATGTGTTCTTAGTTACTCAGGAAGCTAAGGCAGGAGGATCACAAGTTCAAGGCCATCTGGGGTACATAGTAATATTCAGTGTTACCCTGGAAAACTTAGTGAGCCCTGTCAAAATCAAAAGTAAAAAAAGAGAGCTGGAGAGACGGCTCCACAGTTAAGAGCACTGACTACTGTTGCAGAGGACCTGGGTTCAATTCCAGCACCTACATGGTGGCTGACAACTGTCTGTAACTCCAGTTCCAGGGGATCCAGTGCCCTCTTCTGACTCCCGTGGGCATTACACAACACAGGTGCACTTACATACATGCAGGCAATACACTCGTACACATAATTTTTTTTTAATTTAAGATGGCTGAGGGGAGAGAAAGAACAAGAAAGACAATGAGCAAGAACTATTTTTGATTTCTTTACAGGTTCTAGATATTAATTACCTGTCAACTATATAGTTGGCAAAGATTTTTGGCCATTTGTAGACGTGTCTCTTTGCTCATTTTTTCAGTTCTCTTTTAAAGATTGTGTGTGTGTGTGTGTGTGTGTGTGTGTGTGTGTGTGTGTGTAGTTGTGTAGGTGCCCATGGTGGCCAGCCAGAAGAGGGCATTGGATCCCCTGGAACTGGAGTTACAGGCAGTTGTGAGCCACCAGTGTGGGTGTGGGGAACTGAACTCTGGTTCTCTCTAAGAGCAACAAGCACTCTTAATCACTGAGCCATCTCTCCACCCCCATCATTTATCAGTTCTTGCTATTACTTCCTGAGCTATTTGAGTCCTTTTCAGAAAGTCCTTGCCTATTCCTCTATGTTGTGTTTTTCCTACAGTTTCCTCGAGCAGTTTCAGAATTTGAAGTCTTTTTAAAATTTTTTTAAAATTTTTGTTATTTTATGTGTATGAGTGTATTGCTTGCATGTATGTGAGTGCACCCATGTCATGCAGTGCCGTGGTGGTCAGAAGAGGGCGTTGGATTCCCCTGGAACTGGAGTTAAGGACGGTTCGTAGCTGCCATGTGGGTGCTGGGAATCGAACCCAGGTCCTCTGCAAGAGCTATCAGTGCTCTTAACCTCAGCCATCTCTCCAGCCCAGAATTTGAGGTCTTATAGTAAAGTATTTTATCCATTTTGAATTGATTTTTCTGAAGGGTGAGAAATGAACCCAATTTCATTCTACTACATGTGAATACCCAGTTTTCCCAACACCACGTTTTGAAGAGGCTGTCTTTTCTCTAATGTACAGTTTGGGGCATCTTTGCCAAAAATCATGTGGCTGTAGCTGTGTAGGTTTACACCTGGATCCTCTATTCTAGTCCATTGATCTATATGTCTGTTTTTGCTCTAGTGCCATGCTGTTTTTGTTACTATGGCTCTGGGGTATAACTTATAATTAGGTGTGATGCAACTTCCAACATTGCTCTTTTTGCTCAGGATTGCTTTGGCTACTCAGGATCATTTGCTCTTCTATATGAATTTTAGAATTTTTTTTCCAGTTTTGTGAAGAACATCATTGATGTTTTGGCGGTGATTGCATTGACTCTATAGATCACTTTGACCAGTATGGCTGGCCATTTTATCACTTTTCTACTGATCTGTGAGCATGGGAGACCTTTCTATATTCTAATGTCTTCAATTTCTTCTTCAGTGTTTCACAATTTTCATTGAAAGGTCTTTTCCCTTCTAAGTTAGGTATATTATTTTTTGAGGCTATTGTTTTCCTGATTTATTTCTTAACAAGTTTATTATTGGTATATTAAAAAGCTACTGATTTTTATTTGATTTTTTTATCCTGCTTGTTAGTTTGTTGAATTTATCAGTTCTAAAGCTTTTGGTGGCACCTTGGGCTTTTTTCTAATAGAATTACATTTACCAACAGGAATGATTTGACTTCCTACTTTCCTGTTTGTATTCACTTTCTTTCTTTTGCCTGATTTCTCTGGCTAAAATTTCAAGTACTATATTGAGTAAGGTAAAGAAAATGGAAATTTTTTCCTAAAATGGAATTTCTTTCATAGGGAAAATGTTTTCAGTTTTTCCCCATTCAGTATTATATGGGTCTGTTATAGATAGTATTTATTCTGTAAAGATACAATCCTATACTTAAGTTTCTCCAGTTTATCATGAAAGGGTGTTGGTTTTTATTGAAAGCCTTTTCTTTGTCATGTGGTTATTTGCCTTGATTCTATTTGTATACTGTATATACTGATTTCTATATGTTGAGCCATACTTGCATCCCTGAAATGAAACCAACCTAATCATGGTATTTGATTTTTTCAACGTATTGTTCAATTAAGTTTTCAAGTACTTGGGTTTTGTACATGTATGTTCATCAAGGATATTGGTTTTGTAGAGTGAGTTTAGAAGAATTATTTCCCTTTCTAATTTATGGAATAGTTTGAGGAGCACTGGTGTTAGTTCTTTAAAATACTGGTTGTAGAGCATTGTTCTAGCAAGTGTAAGGCCCTAAGTTCAGTCCCCACTGCCACAAATCTCTCAGGTCCTGTCCCCTTCTTTGTTGGGAGACTTTTTATTATATTTTCAATCACATTGCTTGCTATTGATTTATTTAGATTTTTTTCATATCCTCTTGGTTCAGTTTTGGTAAGTCGTGGGTACAGAAATTTGTCCATTTTTCCTAGACTTTCTACTTTGTGGACATACTATTTTTTTTTCAGAATATTCATTAATGATTTCACTGGTTTCTGTTATAGTATCACTTTTGCCTTCAATTTTTATTATTATTATTGGTATACTGGAAATTGAATCTGGAGCCTTGTGCAAGTACTCTATTACAGTTATATTTCCAGGTTTCTTGTTACTTTTTTAAAACTTTGAGGCAGGGTCTCACTAAGTTATCTTGTCACTTTGAACTCACCCAGCAGTCCTTGGACTTCATTTAAGACCCTCCTACGTCAACCTCCTGAGTAGTTTAGTCTAAATTAAACTATAAGGCCTGCACTGCCAGGCCTAATTTTATTAATTGATTAGTTTGGCTAAAGCTTTGTCAGTTTTGTTTGCCATTTCACAAAGTCAACTCTTTGTTTCATTAATTCTTATTTTTATATTCTCCATTTCATTAATTTCCCCCTTCATTTTTATTTCCTTTCCATCTACCAATTTTGATCTTGAATTGTTTTTATTTTTCTATGACCTTGAGATGCACCCTTAGGTATTTATATAAGATCTGATTTTTTAACATGGGCATTCATGTCTATAAATTATGAGTTTAACTGTACCATAGATCAAATAAATGGACCTAACAAATATCTACAGAATATGCCATCTAACAGCAGCATAATACATATTCCCATCAGCCTATAGAAGTTTCTCCAGGTGTATCCCTAGTGCCTCAGGAATGAGTAGGGAGGCCAAACTGTCCTCTGAGTTTTGCTCTGTGGATGGGGCCTGCAACAACCAGACAATTCCCAGGCCTTGGTCTTAACATGTTCAGTCCTAGACCCCACAGTCATCTTACCAGCTTTTCTTTGTTTTATGACCTTTCAAAACCAAACAAACATTCTTAGCTCTCAGTTTTATTTTTAAAAGGGCTAAATTATGCTAGGCATGGTGGTACATGCCTTTAATCGCAGCACTTGAAAGGCAGAGGCCAGCACTGTGAGATTGAGGCTAGCCTGGTCTACATAGTGAGTTCCACGTGGGCTGGAGCTAGGGAGACCCTGTCAAAAAAAAAAAAGACTAAATTTGACCCTTAAGTTGTAATTTGCTTAAAAATTGTATGAAAATGATGATTTTTCTAATTCATCAAGTTATCAAAAACTGCCAAAGTCACCTGACTTTAAATTATATATTAAAATAGCTTTCAACTGCTTTATAAATCATACTTTTCTTCCTAGTTTACCTATTAACAAATTTCTAAATAAAGAATTCAGTAGAGTATATATATTTATATATTATATATATATATATCTTCCTTCTAGGTAGTAAATGAAAAAGGGTGGAGTGAAATATGCTAATCTAACTTCCTTATGCCTTCTTTGTTGTATGAGATCATGACTAAGGGTTGCCTGTCTGTTTTTCAGCCAACAACTATATGGAATCTAAGTGTCAAGCTGTCATCCAAGAACTGCGTAAGTGTTGTGCTCGATATCCCAAGGGAAGCTCTCTTGTCTGCTCAGGATTTGAGAAAGAAGAGGAAGAAAACCTGACACTGAAGTCTGGATCCAAGTAAAGTGCTGAGAAGTTAAATGCTGCTCCATATTCCCTCCAAGTGTGTTTTATTTACTGTCTCTTCTTCAAATCAGCAGCAAATAGCAAATCTTTAAGAGTTAGCAATATGCCATCTATGCAAAATAGATCAAAATATCAGTATATTAGAAAATGAATACATATAATGTAAAAGTGAACTGCTAAAATAAACCTGTTTAACATGAAAATGTTTGGTTTGGTACATACAAAACATTTTAAGAGACTATTAGACATATATTAATGAATCCTTTAACACTTGAGTTCAGACTATTACCTGGATCTTGATCTTGTTCCCTGGTCCTTGGGTCTCTGTTGAATGAATTCAGATAAGACACACAGAGCATAATATAGGAAATACAGTTTGTTACAGAATAGCATGAAGCACTCTGAAGAGTGAGTAGGCAATGGCCAGAGAGACCATTACACTGACATACATGTTGAGGTAGGTTTTATGTATATATACACACTATTTTGTAAAGTTGCCAAAATAGGCAGCTTTCCCACAGGTGTTTTCCTGTCCTCGTAACTGACAGGCCCATTTGCATTAACTCTTAAGGGGGAGGGGACAAAATTATGTCTTTATTCTTTACCAGAAAGCCCTTGGCTAGATAGTAATCTTAGAATTTTAGGGACAATTCAGAATGCCAACCACCCATTGTTAAAGATACTTAGATCCCATTCTTCTTCAGATCAGTAATCAAAGACCTGAAGTTTCAGTTCCTGGTTTTACAAACTGCTGATTGAGTGAGGGAACCATCCTCAATAATCTTCAAGCCTACTAATATCTAACTAGCTACCTAACAAGTCACTAATGCCAATGATAAACTAAAGTCACATGAAGTCCTCCATTATCCCAGTCTTGATATCCTTCATAGATTGCATGCTACATTAATTCAAAGCTTCCATTAACCTAACAATAACAAAAATGCAAAGTTACCTTCCAGATGCCAGTAGAAGCATTTCATTCTGGCTTTGCATCTCCCACACAGTGACTAGGAACAGGTGCTTAATATTTGTTTAGTGACAGGAAAGGCACATAGTCTTCTAATGTTCAGTAATCCCAAATTTATCATTAAATCCCAGCACTCGGGAGGCAGAGGCAGGCAGATCTCTGTGAGTTCAAGGCCAGCCTGGTCTACATAGTTCCAGGACAGCTGGGGCGATGGGAGACCCTGTCTCAAAAAGACCAAAAAAAAAAAAAAAACCTGAAGAAATACTTTGATTGGAAGCCAGTCAGGCAGCAACAGAATTAAGAATATTAGTTGGCTTATTGTCTATTTAGGTCCTTATAACCAAAACCTGGTTATGGTAGATCCTGACATTTGGCAATTGCAGTTACTGTATGCTCACTTGCTTTCCTCAAATAGATGTTAGTATTACCATTGTCCCTACCCCCCAAAAGAAACATGCCTTGGAACTGGGGATATAACTGAGTTTGTAGAGTGCTTGTCTAGCATGTATGTGACCTTGGATTTTGATCCCCAGTGCTGCATAAATCAGACATGATGATACAAACTGATAATCCCAGCAGTCAGGTATCAGGAGTTAACCATCATCCCCAACCAAATAGTAGACAAGCTATATGCAACCCCTTTTTAGAAAATATTTTATTATTTTTATTTTATATATATAAGTATATTACATGCAGGTGTGTAAGTGGATCCGTGTCCTGCAGTGTACACAGAGGTCAGAAGAAGGTATGAGAATCCCAGTACCCACATGGCAACTAACAGCCATTCGTAGCTACAGTTCCAGGAGATCTGACACCCTCTTCTGATCTCTGTGAGAACTGCACAACATGGGTGCACCTACATACATGCAGGCAATATACTTATACACATAAAATAAATTTAAAAAAGAGGAAAGAACAGATGCCTTCGTAAGAGTAGGAGAAAATTTTGGTAGTTCTTTGATGTTCAAATACCTTTATTTGATACCAACTATTTTTCTTGAGAGAGAGAGAGAGAGAGAGGAGAGAGAGAGAGAGAGAGAGAGAGAGAGAGAGAGAGAGAGAGAGGTGAGTACCAGCACACACATACCATGGTGGGCATTTGGAGGCCAGAGGCCAACTTTCAGGAGTTGATTCTCCTTCTGCTGTGGGATCTGGGAATCAAATTTGGGTGTCAGGCTGGCTTGTGCTTTTACCTACTGAGCCATCTTGCTGGCTCTCCAACACTACTTTAAAGCAACATTCACGAAAAACATTTACAGGAATCACTGTACCAAGGAAATAAAAGACTTCCATGCTTAGATAATGGAGGAATGCTAGGCAAGACGCAAGGAAATAGGCTTCTTTTATGTCAGACTTTAGTTTTTCAATATGAGATACATTTCTTTGTAGGACTATTCTGTTGCTAAAGTGAACCCTTTTTAATAATTTTTTGTTTTTTATGTGTATGAATGTTTTACCTGCATGTATGTATGTGTACCTATGTGTGCAGTGCCCACAGAGGCCAGAATACTTGATCTGGAGTTAAGGATGGTTATTAGCCACTATGTGGGTACTGGGAACTGAATCTAGGTCCTCAGCAAGAGCAGTGAGTGCTCTTAACCTCTGAGCCATCTCCCCAGCCCCATGAACCCCTTTTGTAGATAAGCATTTCTTTGAATGATTGCCTTCTAAAGAGACTTGGGAGATGCTGCCTTAGAAACATTCAGTCCAGAGACCACCAGAAAGTGCTGGTTCTGGCCTCCCTCTGGCATAGGGGCTGAGAATGCAGGGGACTGCCTGAGAGCCCCTAGATCCTGCCTCCACATGGTGCTGATCTGAAGCCATCAGTTCCCTCCAAAATAAAACCTGAGAGAACATGAAACCTGTACCAGCCAGCTTTATATAACCAATAAGGAAAGGACCGAGGCACACCATTAATACAAACAGAAGCATACTTCAACTTAATTCTCATATCAGAATCATTAACAAAAGAAATTCACATGCCAAAATCACAACAAAAGAATAATACAATGGAAATCCAAAACACTATGTCCCCACCAAACTCCACCAGTCCTGTAGAAGAGATCTACAAGGAGAACATACTACAGATAACCCAGAACACTGAATTTAAAAGAACAATCATAAACATGATCAAGGAATTCAATGAATTTAAAGAACACATGAACAAACAAAGCAAAGAGCTCAAAAAAGATAGGGATAAACTTTTGAATGAATTTACGAAAGAGAAACATTGAAGAAAACTCAGGCAGAAATGAAGAAGGAAGTGCAAAACTCAATAAGCCAACTTGAAACAACATGGGAAAGCCTCACTGCTAGAATGAATGAAAACAGAATATCAACACTGGAGGATAAAGTTGTAGAATTGGACCACTCAAGCTAAGATTATGTAAATTTTTTTAAAAACACAGGAATGGACTATGCAGGAGATGTGGGACACCATGAAAAGACCAAATTCATGTATCATCAGCATAGAGGAAGGAGAAGAATTTCAGGTTAATGGTATTGACCAGATCTTAAACAGGATTGTAGAAGAGAATTTCCTGAAATTAAGGAAAGACATCCCCATATAAAGGCAGGAAGCACATAGAACTCCAAATAGAAAGGATCAGAAAAGAAACCCCACAATGTATCATAGTAAAAACCCTAAATGTGAAGAACAAAGAGAAGTTTTTAAAAAATCTTTAAAACACACTCACATACAAGGGAAAGCCCATCAGAATTACAGCTGACTAATCAATGCAAACTATGAAAGCCAGAAGAGCCTGGACCAAGGTATTTCCAGTACTACATGACAATAGATGCCAGACCAGAATACTTTACCCAGAAAAAATATATATTATACTTGAAGGGGAAAGAAAAATCTTCCGTAACACAAATAGCCTTGAAAGAACACATGTCCACAAAACCAGCCCTTCAAAAGTTACCTGAAGCAATACAGAGAGTGGAAAGAGAAACCCTACACACTACGGGCAAATGAAGAAAATAAATAAAGGTATAATTGAGGAAACACAAAATTAGACAGAGAACACAAACAGCAATGAAAATGATGGCAACCAATACACACCTTTCAATAATAACCTTAAATACCAATGGACTAAACTCCGCAGTCAAAACACACAGGCTAAATGAATGGATTAAGAAACAAAATCCAACTCTTTGCTGCCTGCAAGAAACCTATCTCACCTTCAAGGACAGGCACTTCCTTCAGATAAAAGGATGGAAAAGACTATTCTAAGCAAATGGCACTAAGAAACAAGCAGGGGTTGCAATGTTAATATCTGACAAAATAGACTTCAAAGTAAAACTAATCAGAAGACATAAAGAGGGCCACTTCATTCTGATCAAAGGAACAATGAATCAAGAAGATATTACAATCATGAACATATATTCACCAAACTCCGGTGCACCCAAATTCATAAAAACAATACTACAGGACTTTAAGACACAGATTAACCCCAGCTCAGTAATAGTAGGGGACTTGAATACCCCACTGTCTCCATTATGGACAGTCAACTGGACAAAGAATAAACAGAGAGATGTCTGAATTAAATGATACCATACATCAAATGGACCTAACAGACATCTTTCAAATATTCCACCCAAACACCAAAGAATATACTTTCTACTCAGCACCCCATGGAACTTTTTCAAAAATTGACCACATACTGGGCCACAAAACAAACCTCAACAAATGCAAAAAAATTGAAATAATTCCATGCATTTTATCAGTCCACAATGCAATAAAGCTCAAAATCTACACTGGACAAAGCCCTAGTCACTACAGGAACTCATGGCAGTTAAACAACGCACTCCTAAACAATGAGTGGGTCAAAGGAGAAATTAAGAAAGAAATAAAAGAATTCCTGGAATTCAATGAAAAGGACAATACAACACAACACAACATCTGGGACACTTTAAAAGCACTCCAAAGAGGGAAGCTTATAGCTCTAAGTGCCTACATTAAAAAAAATTAGCAGAATTCTACCAGACATTTAAAGAAGACTTCCGACCAATACTACTTAAATTATTGAAAATGATAGAAACAGAGGGAGAACTCCCAAATTCCTTCTATGAAGCTAATCACACTAATACCAAAAGCAGGTAAAGACACAACCAAAAAAGAAAACTATAGACCCATATCCTTAATGAACATGGATGCAAAAATTCTCAAAATACTTGCAAACCGCATACAGATGTACATCAAAAACATCACTCACCATGATCAAGGAGGCTTTA